AGAGTGCTGTACGGTAATATTTGCCAGTTGAGAATGTGTGATGGCCAATCTGAAGGAAATCTTTAAATTTTTCTGGCTGTATTAAGTGTCTGTAAATTTTAGATTCGTTGTGTAGTACAATTTTTTAATAAATTGTGTCCCCTGATTCTGGAACTGGGACCTTAAAACTATCATAATTTCTTGAACTGTAGAAATGTCCTCCTCTTTTTATTGTAAACCTCTTTTAGACAATTTATCTTCATTTATGTTACAGGAATGGATTAGTGTGCCAACCCTTGATACCTTCTGAATAATGACTCATGGTGAAACCCAGCATCTCATGCTTTAGCCTGAAATTTGCTTTTTAGGCAGCACACTGAGACTGGGATCTCAGCTTGTCAGAACTGTCGTACCTTTGCGTACCGTGACGGTTGCATTTTGGGCATACTAGTTCCTTTTAGAGAATTACTTGGTGCTTAGCAAACAACACAGGAGTTCACAGTCAGTCCTCAAATGACTGGATGAATCTCTGTTCAGTCAAGCCCAGGGAAATTAAAGCAGTTTAACCCTGGGAGGATGTTTGAGGCCGTGTGGAAGTCCTCGATTTAAATTTCCTGCCTTCTCCTATCTTCTCATGCGCCACCTGGGAGTCGCACATCCCAGGCTGCATAGTCAGAGTGAGAGTGATTTGCAGGCTCAGGAATGTGCTTGACTGTCTGGGTGTGGGTTACCTTTTGAAGTACAGTGAAACAGGATTCCTGTCCTGCATCCCTGTTGCTTCTTTGCAGCAAGTTTTGTATAAAGAGTAGAAGTTACCTCAAAGATTTAAAAACTGCTCATCATGATTTCACCAAAAGGATTTGATGGTTTTGGTTGGAAATTACTTTATCTGAAGAAGCAAATAATAAAAATCACAAGTAAAGTATTTGTTTTAAATGTAACACAAATATGCCTAGAGATTCACAGAATCATGATGCAGGTGAATATATAATTATGGTTTCTTTCAGTGCGTCTCTGATTTCACTTAACTCCACCAAGCATAGCCACAGGGTGGATTTCTGGATGTTCTTTGTGGCTTTACCATGACATTACTAAGAAGAGTGTTCCTGGGGTAAAGTCTTTGAAATTTTGAATGTTAATACTTGGGGCTAAAGTAGTAGTATTATGCTGACGTGATGATTTGTGGTTTCTCTCTCTCAACCTGTTATGCAGAGGTTTTTAGGGAAGTTCATATTTCAGTTGCTTCACTCACTTTTTCCTTTGACTCTGCTTTTGTTAAATATAGTACTATATATGTTAAGTATATTATTATATTTTCTGTTGTTAAATATATTATTTATTTTCTTCAATTGATAATGAATTAGGATTTTTGACAGAATGAGAAAAATTGCTGCTGTGCAGATTATGGAAAAATTAAAAATTTATGAAACTTTTGGAATATGAATTTGTCCTCTTAATGTTTCCTGTATAGGTGCTTGTGTGTTGCCCCTACTTGGAATGATCTAATTTGTTTATTTTTCTCCCTCTAAGCTTAAACATTATTCTTAAATGATTTTGTGGTTATATCTAGTGTTGAGCATTTTTCATAGGTGGACTTTTTGTTGTTGTTGTTTTCCGGTACTGGGAATAGAACTCACAACCTTGCGCTTGCTGGGCAGGTGCTGTGCCACTGAGCTAAATCCCCAGCCCCTCATATGTGGACTTTTAATGTGAAATCGTTTCTGTGTATTTCTGTGTGCTGCACATGCTCTATGAAGAATTTCTCAATGAGTTTATAGTTGATACATAGTTAAAAGATATCTGTGTACTAAGCTAGAGATATATGCTATGCTACAATCGCTTACTAATTCTAGTAGTTTTTGTTGGTTCTTTAAATTTGGCAACATACACAATGATGCCATGTACAGATGAGCACAATTTTATGTGTTCTATTTTGATGCCAATGGTTTTTGTTTTTCTATCTTGTATTTTCTGTGCATATACAGATATAATCTTACATTTTATTTTAGTGTAATGGATGACAATTTATTCAGTAGCCCATTTTTACATACTTTTTTTTTTTTCCCCAGTACCAAGAATCAAACTCATGACCTTGCGCTTGCCAGGCAGGTGCTGTGCTGCTGAGCTAAATCCCCAGCCCCATTTTAACATACTTTTAGTAATTCATTGTGTTCTATAATCCTGAGTGAATAATGAAAATGTAATTTGTACTTATTTGTTGAATGGTTTTCATTTTTATTTTGCTGATATTTTGCTGTGTGTCTGAATGGGATATTGGAATATCAAGTTGAGTTTGTTGTTTTTTTCTAATACATGCATATAAAAAAAAATTATCTGGAAGTCCCCCTAAAATGGTAATATGTAGTTTCAATTTTGTACATTATGAAATCATTACTAATTTAATAAGCCATTCTTTTGACACACAGGTCATTTAAAATCTGTGACATAGGCCGGGGAGATACCTCAGTGGCACAGCACCTGCTTGGCAAGTGCAAGATCCTGGTACCAAAAAAAAAAAAAAAAAAAAAAAAAAGACCTAATCTCTATTATTTTTAAGTTTTCTAAGGATTTTTCAGCTATTGGTTTCTAATCTAAACATCCTAATTCCAATATGTTTTGAGAGCTTACTTGATATTATTTCCATTTCTTTGGATATGTCAAGTTCTTTATTGCTGCTTTGTTAATTTGTCTTGACCATTATTTCTTGTGATTTTGAGAAGACTGTCTCTTCTGCATTTCTTGGAGAAAATAAATTTATATAATCATTTGATCCTGATAATCTCTTACTTTCTTTTAAGTACAGATTGAATACTATCACAGTAGTAAAGATTTGGTAGATTTCATTCAATCAGTACTAGACTAGTTAATAGTTTCTCTTAATGAATAACCTATTCAAACTACATTTGCCTTTATATGTTTCACATTTGCTACACTTAAAAAAAGCATTTCATGTTTTCATTTACAAATGGAAATTTAATATATTAATGATTTAAAGCCTGATGCTTTGAAGCATTTATACATTTTAGACAGTAAAGCTGAGCAGATTATTTCACAGTACTATAATTTTTTAAAGTATATAAAATTTTATAGAGCTTTTTTCTGTTTTCCGTTGTTTTACTTGTTCTTTTTGTAATATTATATAAGAAAGAGCTTTTTTCTTTCTGTTTTCTATTTTGTTTATTCTGTTTCTAATGCTGTATAATTGCTCTAGTTTTTCCCCTCTTTGTTTCAGTTGGGCATTTTATATGGTTCTATTTTCTGTTGTTTCTTAGGAAATTCAGTAGGAATGTGTCCCAATATTTTCTAATTTTTCAGTGTTAGCCATATCTACAACTAATCTAAACTCACTTTGAAATGTCCTGTTGTTTCAGAAATAGTCTTGTAGTATAGCACAGTCACAAGTGCTTCCAATCCTATTGTTGCATCTTGTGAGGGTAGATTTTAACAATGTGGGGTTCAAAAACTTATGTAAATGAAGACCTAGAGATACAAGTTAAGAAGCAGAAGTAAAATCACTGTATTAGTAGGAGAAGATATGAGGAGATAGACAGCTACCTTGTTGTAGCGAGGTAGGGAGCCTGAAACTGGCACCTGAGGGTCTTTCTTCTTAGCCCCTTTTGTTACATGACAAGAAGGGACTCTCTCCCTTAAGAGCTGTTTTATGTTGATTGGCCATTTTGGGCTCTGAGACCTCTGATTTGGTCAATAGACCTTCTTTGTTGCCTGCATGCAAATTCTTGGGAAAGCTCCTTTTGGCCTTCTTTGTTCTGTCAAGGTGTTATTTCTGAAAGTGATAGTTGAGCCTTACATACAAGGCTGAGTTAGCAATTAGTAAATGGATATGTGTACATTCTAGTACAATAACATGGTGAGAAAATAATGAAATGTATGCAACATATGCATATATGAATGTGCATATACAAGGGTGCATATATATTTTATATGCTAAGAGAATTTTCTGTGATACAGCCCACTCCCCACTATGTCTCCTTTGGACTTAATTGTAATTTATGGTTTAAATCTAGATGTTCTCCCAAAGCACCATGTGCTCATAGGTGGGGCTTTTGGAAGGTGACCGAGTCATGGATGTGGTACTGGATTAGTCCACCGATGGGTTTATAACAGGATATGACTTTGGGAGGTAAAGCCTGGTGGGAAGAGATTGGTCACTGGCGGTGTGGCTGCTCCTTTGATGGCACAGTACTTCCCAGGGCCATGCCATGAGCAAGTTTCCTGCATGCCATACTCCTCTGCCAAGCCACCCTGCCTGAGAGCCAGTCAGCTGTGGACTGAAACATCTACAGACTGTGAACTAAAATAAGCCTTCCCTCCTTTAAATTGTGACTGTTGGATACTGTGTCTCAGTGGTGTGAAAGTAACTCAGACAGATTTGCTCAGTTATAGCACATTAGTGACAACAGTCGTTTTGTACCTTGTCTTTTGTGCATCTACATGTAACTCAAAGTGTTTTTGCCACATTTTCCAATTAAAGTTAAATTGTAGTAAGAAGAAATTTTACTCGCCATGTGACCAACCTCACTGGCTATTTAGTTGTCACCGTGTTCTCCTGTGTCTGTTGTGACTGTCGTCATAGGGATTCACTCTCCTGAGGACAGCAGATACATATACCTCTCAAGTGCAGTTCACCTTACTGTAGCTGTTTTACTCTGACTCCTCCTTTGTCATTCACTTCTTTCCCAGTTTAGGAAATAACAGAGACTCCTGCATACTACAGTCCATACCCTCATATTCAGCCTCAGGGACAAAGGTCAAAACATGAAAAAGGTCTGAGCCATAAAACTCTTAACATCAGAGTATTTTTTTGGTAGAGGTGTAGTTAATAGTGACGTCATGCCCTCCATATTTCTTTCTCTTTTTCCATCGTCTTTTGTCCGTTTCACACTTCTCCTCTGTTCTTTGATTTCTTCTTTAGAATCTTGGAAGCCCTTCAGTCATAACCGATAGAATATGGCCCAATATAGTATTCCATATGTGTTTTCACTATTCCTGTGCTGTGACAGGCTACTGATAATAGCCACAAAAAGTCTGTCCCTAGTGTACACTTAAAATGCCATCATATATCCTTTAACATGGCTCAGAATAGAAACTGAGGACATGAAATTTCACCCTGTGAAGATGGCTAAGTAGGAGGTGAAGAAGCCCCAGATTTAAATGACCTGACTTCTCATATTTCCCTGTCTCACCACCTGTGATTGAGCTGCCCTGGGCTGCTTGGGCACAGTGTGTGGTGCATGTCCTCAGGAGTGTGTTCAGCCTTCTGAGTGCGGGTTCTTTTGTAAACTGCAGTGAAGCAAGCCTTCTTCCCCAACTAGCCTTCCTTTTGCTTCTTTTGCAGGAAGTTGCTTATATAAAATGTAAGTTACTTAAGGGCTTAAAAATTTATTTTCATGATGTAGCCCTAAGATTATGATTTTCCTAGTTAAAAATGGAGTGGAGAATTGATTACATCTGATGAAGTAAAGAAAAATTTAGAAGTGACTTTGTTGTTGTTTTGAAACCAAGTTCTCACTATGCAGTTCAGGCTGGCCTTGAGCTCACTATGTAGCCTCAGCTGATATAAATTAATATATACCTTCTCCATGGTAATTTAGTGTGTAAATATTTTGCAATACATTTTATTTTCAAAATTCTTGGTAAGATTTAACAATAATGTAAATATGGTGGATCCCAGAAATTTGTGAGGGTTACATTCGTAGAGTACACGTATATTGTGAAAAACCACAAATTTCAGATATGGTCAGAAAAAAATGCCTATACATGGCTGTTTTTATTATTTAAACCCTAAATATGCAATCTCTCCTGTAGTTATATAATTTAATTTAATAAAATAAGGTATTAATAAAGCCTTAGAGGATGCAGGGTGTTTTGGTGGCCTCTTTGGCATCTTAGGGCTTTACCTTCTTAAGAAGAACAAAACCTCCTGATAGTGATGGCCGAGGGAAGGACCGCTGAGAACTTTCTTCAGGGGCTCATCTTTCTAGTCACAGACTTTTTATTCTATCCTAAAAACTTGCATTTTAAAATGGAAGGAAAGAAAAAAGAGAAAAAAAGGCATTCCTCCATACCCTTCAACTTTAAACATGTAGTATTTTAAAAATCAAAACAGCAGATTCATCCCCTTGCAGAAGCTCTGTGGGGATATTTGGTGACAGCATAGTGGAAGGAGCTCCAGAGCCACTCTGGGTGCCCCCTTCTGGCTACCTACACAGGATCCTTTACTTTCCTCTGCGAAAGCCCAGAGGGAGCATTGGCTCACAAACTGTGAGAGTATGTTTTCATACTTGGCAGTGGTGAATTATTTTACATAAGGTCATTCAACTATCTATTTAAAAAACAGGAAGCTGATTATATATTTAATAATAAAAAAAATCAAGGAAGCGGGAAAAGAAAGAAACAAAACCAAGAACACTAGAGATAGCTACATGCAGTACAGCACCCTCTTGTGATGCGGGAATGCTGGTGCAGCTACTGGAGATGGGTTACAAGGCAGCAACCAGTCGCAAGAACTGAATAACACTCTGAGATTGCTACTTGGAAGCCTCCTGCAAGAAAACAATTATGGAGGATATTTGTGGGTTCTGCAAAATTGCAGGGGTTTCTGTGAACAATTATAAGGTACTAAGGAAAAATCTATGAATGACTGAGGAGATGAGTTTCAAATTGTGACTATGTGGAGTTGTACTGTATCCTGGGAATATTCAGAAAGTTTAGTCATTGGGCCTTGGGCAATGGATGGGAGTGTCCAGGTGACTGAAACCCTAGCTGACTCAAGCCTCTCTTGCTCCATGGATGACCACTTCCCCACTTTTGGTGACTCTTCCTAAGTTCACCATGTGTGATTTTTTTATGAACAATGTTTTTTTTTTTTTTTTGTTTCCTCTGATTTCTCAATAAATGATTATTCAAGAAATTACCAAGAGAAATATTTCCATGGTTTATTGTTGTTGTTGTTTTCCTTCACAAAATGTACGTTTGATCTTTCAGGAGGCAGTGACCTTTGAGGATGTGGCTGTGAACTTCACCATGGAGGAGTGGACTTTGCTTAATCCATCCCAAAAGAAGCTCTACAGACATGTGATGAGGGAAACTTTTAGGAACATGGCTGCTATAGGTAAAAATTGACATTACTTTCTCATTTGTCCAATCAGAGAACATTGTTGTTCATCAGTGCGGCTTCATTAAATAGACTATGAAAGTATTTTATAGAATATCTCAGACCTGGTTACATTATACCATGAAAATAACTGGAATCTATTCATTTTTATGTAATAATACAGTGCCTCCTTGTATTTCTTGTATTTCAGGAAGAGTCGTGGACAACCAGGAAGTTAAAGAAGAGTTCAAAAATTACTGGAGAAATCTAAGGTAATTTGTACTCAAAGGAAAAAGTATTCCTCAAAATTCAGTGCATACACTGTACGTAAAGAGAAATATTACAAACAGGGAAACATGACCATGTTCAAATTTATTTAATCTGCACATCTAATTGCAGATATCCTCCAAAAATATATATAGTTTTAGTATGTATAATTTGGCAACTGATTATAGAAATATTCCAGTATAGGAAACTGAGCACTGATATCATGCAACAAGTGACACTGCCTGACATATAATTATAAAAAACATTCTTTCATGATCACCATCATAAAAATGCATGAAATTGCATTTAGTATTATGTATATGAAAAGAAATGAATTTTGAAACCCTTCCTCAGCCTATTTATGTATACATGTGAATATGAGACATTCAGTATCTAAAAAAATTGCTAACCTTGAAGCAGTATTTCTTAGTATTATAATAAGAAGTATTTTAAGCCATCCTCCAGAGAATTGAGTCCGTTCATGTTTTAAAATTCTTAAGAGGCATCCTCTAACATTATTGGTGTGAATGTTAAGTATAACCAGTATGATAACCAGCACATAGACATCTCAAAAAGTACAAATAGAAGTTTCATTTGATCCAGGAATACCTCTCCTGGTATAGAGTTAAAATCATCACATTATACTGATATGTGCATACACATACTCAAAACAGGACAATATGTAACAGGTGTCCTTCACTGGATGAATGGGTAAAGAAAATTTTTGATACATTCAGCATGATTTTTGATATTCCCAGCACTCTGGGAAGTTGATTTAAGAAGACGGCAAATTGAAGCTTAGCATGAGCAACTTAATCATCAATGAGAATCTCTCAACATTAAGAATTTTAAAAAGCTGGAGATCTAATTCAATGCTAAAACTAGTGTTTAATTCCCAGCACTGAAAAGAAAAAGAAAAAAAATGTGCTGTATAATCAACCATAAAGATGAATGATATGTCATTTTGCAAAAGAAATGGATGAGTTCTCATCCTATAGTATTAAGTTAAATAAGTCAGACACGGAATGTGAAAGGTCACATGTTTTCTCTTATATGACAAACCAAAAATATAAATTAGGGAGTAGAATAAAAGAGAGGCAATTTAAAAAGGAAAGACTGACTTTTTGGGAAGACAAACCAGGGTAAGGAGAGGGGGAAGAGGGAAGGGGGAAAAGGTACCAAAATGATCAGTAGGTTATACACATATGTACCAATTGCCCAAAATGAAACTAAGCCTTCTGTATTGCAAAATGTACCAATTTTTAAATTCCCAAATGAATACCGCTCTTGGGAATGGCTGATTTGATGGTATTTTCTAGGGCATTCAGGTAATTCATTATCAGAATTTCTTAAGAGGCATCAAATGAGAACTTGTGCTAAATGATTAATGAGACCCATTATATTGCAACTAGTTTTTTTTTTTCCTCTACAGAAATGAAGAGGTTGAGAAATGCTATCAAAATAAAGGCTGGAGTCAATATGAGGAAGTATTCCTGTGGACTCCAGATGCTAATGTGGACACGAAACAAGCTGGTTTAAAACTAGCTGAAGGCCTTGCTTGTGGAAAGCCCCTGATTGAGCCCTTGTCACGAAATGTGCCCGACATAGCTCACACTGAACTGAAGACAGCTGAGTATTTGGGATCAGAAGAGAAGCTGAATAAGTGTGATGAACATGTAAGGTCCCAGTCCTTTCAGAAGGATGCAAGGACAAACACCGGAGAAGAACCCTGTGAATATGATCAGTGTGGGAAATCCTACACTAATCTTAGTGAAAAATCTCACCTTAGAGAGAAGACCTTTGTATGTAAGGAAAACTTCAAAGCCTTCAGCACACCCAAAAATATTCAGATCCATGAGAGAATTCACACTGAGAAGAAACCCTGTGTATGTAAGGAATGTGGGAAAGCTTTTAGCAGGTACAGTGAATGTAAAATACATGAAAGAATTCACAATACAGGGAAACCCTATATATGTAAGCAATGTGGGAAAGCTTTCAACAGGCGCAATAAATGTAATATACATGAAAGAACTCACACTGGGGAGAAACCCTATGTGTGTGAGCAATGTGGGAAAGCTTTTACTACACAACGTTACTGTAAAATACATGAAAGAACTCACACTGGGGAGAAACCCTATGTGTGTGCGCAGTGTGGGAAAGCTTTTAGTGCGCAACGTTATTATAAAACCCATGAAAGAATTCACACTGGGGAGAAACCTTATGTGTGTGAGCACTGTGGAAAAGCTTTCCGTACACAAGGTCATTGTAAAATACATGAAAGAATTCACACTGGGGAGAAACCCTATGTGTGTAAGCAATGTGGGAAAGCTTTTAGTTCACAACGTTACTGTAAAATACATGAAAGAATTCACACTGGGGAGAAACCCTATGTATGTAAGCAGTGTGGGAAAGCTTTTAGTACACACAGTTATTGTAAAATACATGAAAGAATTCACACTGGGGAGAAACCCTATGTATGTAAGCAGTGTGGGAAAGCTTTTAGTTCACAAAATTATTATAATATACATGAAAGAACTCACACTGGGGAGAAACCCTATGTTTGTAAGGTGTGTGGGAAAGCTTTTCGTACACAAGGTCATTGTAAAATACATGAACGAACTCACACCGGGGAGAAACCCTATCTATGTAAGCAGTGTGGGAGAGCTTTCAGCACCCACAGTGAATGTAAAATACATGAAAGAATTCATACTGGGGAGAAACCCTACGTGTGTAAGCAATGTGGGAAAGCTTTCATGAGGCAGAGTAAATGTAATATACATGAAAAAAATCACAATAAGGGGACACCCTATGTATGTAAGCAGTGTGGGAAAGCTTTTAGTGCACAAAATTATTGTAAACTACATGAAAGATCTCACAGTGGGGAGAAATCTTATGCATGTAAGCAATGTGGGAAAGCTTTCAGCAAGCCCAGTGCATGTAAAGTACATGAAAGAATTCACACTGGGGAGAGACCCTATGTATGTAAGCAATGTGGGAAAGCTTTTAGTACACAAAATTGTTGTAAAATACATGAGAGAACTCACAGTGGAGAGAAACCCTATGTATGTAAGCAATGTGGGAAAGCTTTTAGTACACAACGTTATTGTAAAATACATGAAAGAAGTCACAATGGGGAGAAATCCTATGTATGTAAGCAGTGTGGGAAAGCTTTTAGTTCACAAAATTATTGTAATATACATGAGAGAACTCACAGTGGGGAAAAACCCTATGTGTGTAAGCAATGTGGGAAAGCTTTTATTACACAACGTTACTGTAATGTGCATGAAAGAACTCACACTGGGGAGAAACCCTATGTATGTAAGCGATGTGGGAAAGCTTTTTCTACACAACATTATTGTAAAGTACATGAAAGAACTCACAGTGGGGAGAAACCTTATGTATGTAAGCAATGTGGGAAAGCTTTTTCTACACAAAATTATTGTAATATACATGAAAGAACTCATACTGGGAAGAAACCCTATATTTGTAAGCAATGTGGGAAAGCTTTTACTACACAACTCTATTGTACTGTACATGAAAGAACTCACACTGGGGAGAAGCCCTACATATGTAAACAATGCGGGAAAGCTTTTACTGCACAGTATTATTGTAAAGTGCATGAAAGAACTCACACTGGGGAGAAACCCTATGTATGTAGACATTGTGGGAAAGCTTTTAGCAGACAAGATTATTGTAAAATACATGAAAGAACTCACACTGGAAAGAAACTATAAGCGATGTGGGACAGGTTTTAGCAAAGCTTGTTATTGTAAATGACATGGAAGAACTCACACTTAGCATTAATTCAATCTTATAAAGCAGTATGGGAAAGCTTTGAGCATGCCTATAGCTTGTGAAAGACAAAAGAACTCAGTAGGGAGAAACCTTATGTAGAAATTACACAGATCTGTTGTCAAATACATGAAAGAAATCTCATGGGAGAGAAACTTTATATATATAAGCCTATTTTGAAAGTCCTGTGACAATTTGTCCTGTAATGGAGAACTGCAGGGACCATAAATATGAAAAGCTTGATGTCAATATTTCTCCATAAAATTTTCAGAAAATACCATCCTAGATAGAAATATTCTAAAGTACACATATTATGTGTTTTTTTTTTCAGAAATCACTTAAATAAATATCTGTATTATGTGTCTGCAGTATTTAATATGAAAATGAGTTGTATCTTTGCACTTAATACATAGTGTCTTTTAATTAAGCATGGTGAATTGAAGTGTGTTTTTTATTTTCAAGTAGAGTTAGTATTTCTGTAGTTTTTGTTGAGTCTTTATAATTGGAAAGTAAAGACCACTAAAAAACTTAATTTTGTTAATTGTTAGGATGTTGCCACTACTTTTGTTTTAAATTTTTGGTGTGTGTACTCTATATTCTATGTGACAGGGGATATTTTTCATTTGGTGCTGTATTTTATGTTTCTCATATGACAAGACACCTGCTTACTGTATAGTATATCATGTACATAATTTTGCCTGTTTTTCTTTCATATCAGGGCCAATATTATTTACATAAAATTTTATTTTCTTACCATCAAAATTGTGCTTTTCTTGTGCCTTGGAAACTTTTTTCTCATTGCTGAGACAAAATACCTGACCCCCAAAATTAAGGAAGAAAAGGTTTATTTAACTTACAGCCTGTGGAGGTTTCAATCTGTACTTGGCTGGCTCCAAAGCAGAGTGGCACATGGCAGAGGGCAACAGTTCATGGGGATGGAAAACAGCAAAAGCAACAAGAGCAAAAAGGGAAGGAATGGCAGACAGCAGGATCTTTCCCTCCTTATATCACTTGTAAAGTACCCATCCCAGGGCGAGTGTAGCACTCACATCTGTAATCCCAGCATTGGACCATGGATCAATAAAAAACTCCAGAAGCCCACCCTATGGCTGCATGACGCTTTAGGGGGATGTCCACACACAAACCATAACATCTTGTTTATATTCCAAGGACTTAATTTGGTGGTAATTTTTCCACCATATATACCAAAAGTGACTAAAACTGCTGTTATTTTTCTGATTGCCATCGACCAGCAGGACCATAATTTATCTCCAAAAGGATATTATGAATTATAATAATCTCTTCAAAATTATAAATGATATGATTTATCAGTAACAACACTTTCAAAGGAATTTTTGTTAACAGTGAAGTTGTTCTGGGGAGAATAATTGCTATTGGGTGTATTGAGGCAAATGTCTTTTTCCCCTCATGCTATGATGTCATTCTATCTTTGGCATTCATATTTTTAGGAAGTTTGTTGTTTATTATAGACAAAGAGCCTGTGAAAATGTGCTTACAATAAGCTTTTTATGAACTACTGTACTTAGACTTTAAAAGAACAATCCAGCGGTCTCCCCTGTGTGTTGCCATCCTCTGGTTTAATCAGCTCATTCTCAAGTCAACGTACTCAGCGTTGTGCACAACGGAAAGGGCGGCTGCTGTGGCTCGTGTCCCTCAGCCATGCAGTAAGCAAACCTGGAAACGAATGGAGCTGTTGCCCTTAAGAATAACATTGTATGTCCCCAAAGGTTAAATTGACTACAGAAATGTTAAAGATTTCTCTCATGTGCCACAGAAAAGTGTAAGTAGTCAACGTTATTGAATATTTAAAGTAGCAGCTTCCCCTTTCCTAGTCTTCTTTGACTGTGATGTTAATTTCTTGTGATGTATTATAAAATAAATGAATTATGTCTTTTTCTTGGATTATATATTTTTAACTTGAAAAATTATTGGGATTTGTGAATATTTAGATCAATTTGGATAGTACCGGCCCTTTTTTTTTTTTTTTTTTTTTTTTTGGTCTTTTTGAGACAGGGTCTTGACTCTGCAGTTTTAACTGGCCTTGGCTCACTTTTGTCAATATTCATATTTTTTGAGACAGGATTTCACTGTGTAGTTGAGGCTGTCCTTGAACTCACTGTGTAGTACAGGCTGGCCTCAAACTCCTGGCAAACCTCCTGCCCCAGCCTGCTGAGTGCTGGGATTACCAGCATGTACCACCATGTCTGGCCATTATTGTTTTTACCTAACAAGTAGAAATAATGTAAGAAGGAAAACCAACGCATAAGAGATATCAGCCAGTTTTGTAAAAAGTGGAATTTACTAAATTATAATTCAGATTGTGTTGTTTTGCCAGTTTTAGAGATAAATTTATACAGTGCCATTTTCATTATTCATAAGCACGATCTAATGTTCGAGGTGTGTGACAAATACCTTCAAGCACATACTGGCTTAAGGTGTGTGCATGGATCCCGGTTGGTCTCCTGGAGCCTGTATTTTTCAATATTTTAACATTGAAATATTTTGTAAAATGTTTTGTACAATGTTCTCACATACAAAAACTGCTCAATTTCTGATAGGGTTACACTATTACAAATTTATGGTATCATGATAGCATAAGTGAACAATTCATTTTTAAATACCCATAATGCAGTGAACACTATTCTTGTCCTAGTCTTAATTATGCTTAGACACAAATTTTTCACCAATTGTATAATATTATTAAATATCTGATATAATTCATGAAGTATAATACACTGCAGACTACAGCGTCAATTTTTTACGCCCTACAACTTATGGTTAACTTCCCTGCAGCAAATTTCTGCTTCTTACCATCACCAGGAAGCTATGCAGTGTGTACTGCCATTCCAGCTTGTGATGGAATGTTGAAACGACAAGATGTTTTACCCTGAGCACATTTACTTTCCCATTATTTTACCATGAAAAAATTCTTGCTAGGCCTTGTGATATGTTTGTAATCCCAGAAACTCAGGAGGCAGAGATAGAGGAAAACAAAACTGAGTCAACCTATTCAATTTATGGAGATCCTGTCTGAAAGTATATGTTGAAGTTCTGCAGATGTAGCTCAAGGATGTAGGACTCACCAAGTATCAAAATTATTTTAATACAAACCATTACACATCAGTGTTTGCCCTTTACTCATTTAATGTGGAAAGGACTCAGCCAAATGCAGTGCTGCAATCCTTTAGTCCCAGCATCAGAAGAGGCTGAGACAGGATGATCATGGCTTTGAAGCTGAGGTTGGAGGGGCAATTTAGGTGGATTCCTTCACAAATTGAAACAGCTTTCTTTATGTCTACATTTTAAGTTTAAGGAAAGAAACAAGTCAAACATGAACCTAGGATGGAATAAAATATCACTATTGCAAATCATGGTTCTGTTGCTCTACAAATAATCTTCATGGTAATATTTGTATAGCAGCCATATATATGCCTGCATCATAGATTAAAACATAAATAAGGAAACATGAATAAGACAAACATGAATAACACTGGCATTGTGAATGTAGGAGAGACATGGAAAAAATAGTTTTCTTAATGTTCCTACAGTTTCTGTCAGAAAATAAGGTGGGATGATACAAGAAACAAAGAATTACATAAAATTGAAAAACTGCACAGACACAGAAGGAAATAACAGAGTGAAGAAAAAAACCTACAAAATAGGAAAATGTTTTCTATCTACTCTGCCGAGTACTAATATCTGGAAAAAACAGGAAAGTGAAATGAATATACACTTCTCAAAAGAAGTACAAATTGCCAATAAATATCTGAAAAATGTTCAACATTTTGGCCCAATGAAGAAATGCAAATTGAAATAGCATCTTTATTCCAGAAAGAGCACATATTGCTAAGAACTGAAAAAAAAAAGTCATAAGGCTGCAGGGGAAAAAGGAACCATTCAACATCATTGGTGGGAATGTAAACTAGTTCAACCACT